CAAAAGCTGGTGAGCCCCCCCGCAGGCATGTGTCTCCCCCTTGGATGTCCCCATCCACCTCCCACTGCATGCCCAGGGAGGGGGGCAGCCCATGGGTGCTATGCAGTAGTTCATTAACAAGCTAACAGAGCAGAAGAGCTGGCCAGCGTGGGGCTAGCCCCTGGTCCTGCCAGATCTGGTGCACACCAAAGACAGACCTGGTGCCTTGGGGTCCCTATGGGGTCCCCCATGTCCCATAACGGCCCTCAGTGCCCCCTAGTCATATCACACCTACACACACCAAGGGCACGGCTGGTTCCCTAGAGTGTTCTCCATGTGCCACGATGGTCCTTGATGTTTCCCAGTCACCCCACACCTGTATATACGAAGAGCAGGGCTTGTTCCCTGGAGTCCCCTCGCAGCATCCCCCAGGTTCAACCTCCTGATGTCCCTCAGCAATCCCCAGCATTAACCCCCTTGGTGGTCCCCAGACACCCGCTGGGCTGTCCCGCAGCTTCCCCCGCACTGGGCCCGTCCCTGGGGACCTCAGTGGCTCACGCTCCCCCCTGCAGGAGTGGGACGAGGAGCTGGCCCGGCTGGCAGGGGAGCGGGCAGCCAGTTGCCTGCAAGGCCCCGCTCCGCCGCCGGCGCCACAGCTGGGCTGGAGCGAGGTGCTGCTGCCGGTGGCCACCGGGGACTTCGGGGTCGTGCTGGAGCGCTGGTTCGCCGAGGGCCGACGCTACGACTACGGGACAGGGCGCTGCGCCGGCAATGCCACCTGCCGCCATTACACCCAGGTGGGCGAGGGAATCTGGGGGGGCTCCGGAGGCCCCTGGGCCGGGGTGACACGCCTCTCCCGCAGCTGGTGTGGGCAACGGCGGGGCGGCTGGGCTGCGGCCGCTGCCTCTGTCCCGGCGGGCACGGCCCCAGCGAGGCCTTCGCCTGCGCCTACTCCCCAGGGTAAGCGCCGAGAACGGGAAGGGGCGGGCGCACGCACACCTGTGGGCGGGGCCTTGGGGCCGGTGCGGAGGGCGCGTGGAGGGGGGAATGCGGTGGGATGGTGCTGCTGGGGGCGGGGCCTCCTCGGGGGTGCGTCAGGTGGACGGGTGGACTGGCCAATAGGGATTTGTGGTGCTAGGTGGGGGCATGGCCTTGTGTCAAGAGGTGGGCGTTACTCGTTGTGTGGGCGGAGCTTGCTGGTTGTGGGCGTGGTGTTTGCCATAAATGGGTGTCGGTTGACGGAGTGGGCGTGGAGTTTTGTGGAGTGGGCGTGGTCAGAGTTTGCCCGGGGGGGCGTGTCTTGGTGGGCTGTGGGCGTGGTTTAGTCCGGAAAGGGGCGTGTCTTGTCGCTGTGAGCGGGGCTCCAGCTGCCTGGGGGGACAGGGGCAACTGGGAGGTGTCGGGGACGCCCGTCCTGCCCTACAAGCAGGGCCCCTGGTGCTCCCTCTGCACCGCCGATCTCTCCGGATGCTTCAAGTCCTGGGACCACAGCGGCGGGCTCTGTGGTGAGAACCCGCGGCCGGTCCCACACCCCAGCCCCTGAGTGCCCTCCAGAGACACCACAGGCCTTGATTCCCATATCTGTGCCATGCCCAGAGGTGCCCAGGAACCCTTGTCGGATGAGCTGCAGGAACAATGGGCGCCTTGACATGAGCAGCTGCCAGTGCGCCTGTCCCCCGGGGTACACGGGAAGGTACTGCCAAGGTGAGAGGGGCGCCCGCAGAACCCCTGCCTTCCCTTGCCTTAGAGACGTGTGTATGGCCAGTGCAGAGCGTGTGTGCACAGGGTGGGTGCAGTGCGTGCATGTGCAATGTCAGTGCAGGGCATGGGCATGGGCATGATCTGAGGGCTGGAGCAGCTCTGCTCTGGAGCCAGGCTGAGAGAGCTGGGCTGGTTCAGCCTGGAGAAGAGAAAGCTCCCGAAGGGGAGACCTGAGAGCAGCTCCAGTGCCTCAAGGGGCTGCAGGAAACCTGGAGAGGGGCTTGGGACAAGGGATGTAGGGACAGGACAAGGGGAATGGCTTGAACCTGACAGAGGGAGACTGAGATGAGATCTTGGGAAGAAGTTCTTCCCTGTGAGGGTGCTGAGGTGCTGGCACAGGGTGCCCAGAGAAGCTGTGGCTGCCCCATCCCTGGCAGTGCTCAAGGCCAGGTTGGACACAGGGGCTTGGCGCAACCTGGTCTAGTGGGAGGTGTCCCTGCCCCTGGCAGGGGGCTGGAACTGGATGAGCTTTAAGGTACCTTCCAGCTCAAACCAGTCTGGGATTTTGTGGCCAGTGCAGCAGTCATGGTCTGCTCGGTGCCCACAATTACACAGTTGTGCAGCACAAACATGCACCGGCTCAGCTCAGTGCAGCACCCGCTGTGCAGAACCAGCTCAGCTGGGATGGGCAGGGGCTGCTGAGCCCCCACCAGCTAGCACAGCTCTTCTCCCGCAGTGAGGTGCAGCGGGCAGTGCCTCCACGGCAAGTTCAGGAAGGAGGAATGCTCCTGCCTCTGCGATGTGGGCTACGGCGGCGCTGAGTGCGGCAGTGAGTCTGTGCTGCAGGGTGGCAGCAGGGATCTGCAGGCTGGGACCCCTGGAGCGGGAATATGGGTCCTCTGGCAGGGCCACTGGCACAGGGATCCACCTTCTGCCTGTGTCCCCAGCAAAGATTCGGTTCCCCTTCCACGCCTGTGATGTGCAGATAGATGGCGACTGTTTCATGGTGTCCTCTGAGGCTGACACCTATTATGGAGCCAAACTAAAGTGCCAAGTGAGTCCCTGGGGTACACCAGCTGAACAATGCCATCATGCCACAGCTCCCCATGAACCCTTCCACTGCCTGGGCCATGTGTCTGGTTCTGACTTGCTCCATTCCCTGCAGGAGAAAGGGGCAATGTTGGCCCAGATCAGAAACCAGAAGGTCCAGGATATCCTGGCTTTCTACCTCAGCCGCTTAGAGACCGGTAACAGGGTGACAGACACCGATTTCGAGACTGGGAACTTCTGGATTGGTAAGTGGTGGTCGTGGGCAGGGTGCGGGGTACACGGGGTCCTGGTGGATGTACCACCCCGCCTCCTACTACTCCAGGCCTCACCTACAAGATGTCTAAGGCTTCCTTCCGCTGGAATGTGGGTGAGCCGTCCTCCTTCACCAGCTTCGCTTTCGGACAGCCAGACAACCAAGGGTAAGTTCCTGTCGGACCTGCAGGACACCAGACTTCAGTGTGGTGTCACCACCATGCCCCTGTGGTGGCTGGCTTCACACACATCTCCTCCCCATACCCATGGGGACACAGGTTTGGGAACTGTGTGGAGATGCAAGCATTGGCTGCCTTCAACTGGAACGACCAGCGCTGCAAGACCCGGAACCGGTACATCTGCCAGTTTGGTGAGTGAGTGGCTGGAAGCCCACCTGCACCTTCCCTGGGTGCTGAGCCCCAGGGGTGCAGGCTCCTGGCTCTGCAGGGTCTGTTCCTGCTACCAGCCCTGCTCAGACACTGACTCTGATATCCCATCACAGCCCAGGAGCACATCTTCTTGTGGCAGCGGGACCCCTGAGCCAGCAGCTCCAGGCCCTGGCCAGCGCTGGCTGCTGCACTGAGCCCATGGCTCAGGATGACCCCAGTGCTGTGCCAAGCCCAGGCCACGAAGGCCCCCTTCCTGGCTCCCCCGCACAGGAGATGGGGGCTGTCAGGACCTGGTGTACCCACTTTACATCAGCATCCCTAAAACTGCATTGTCTTCTGCCTCTCACCTTCCTGTTGCCATCACGCTGTGAATGCCCTGCGGGCAGGGAGATACCAGGTCCAACAGCATCCTCCTCCTCAATTGGTAGCAGGGGCATATCCAGACCTAGGTGCAGATGCCATGAGGGGTCAAGGGGGGAATTCTTAGTGGGCACAAACCTCAGCATGTCTCAGGGTGAGGACCAGCTCAGCTCTCACACTGGGAGTCCCCCAGCCTGACACCACAGGTTCCTCGTCATGATCTTGTCTTTCATGATCACCCAGTTCCTCACCATCACTTGGGTGGCTAATAAAGACCTCTTCTTTGGGAAGAGCAGTTTGTCTTCTTCTCTTGTGCCAGATCCACCAGTCTCTCTGTCTAGCACAGCCCACATCCTGCCTACACAGGGTGGTACCTCCAGCTCCATCTGTGGATGAATGGAGCTGGAGGATGGAGGAGAGTCAACCAGCACCTCTTGGCTGGGCTCACGTCTCCAGCACTTTGGAGGTGTTTTGGGGGTGGACTTAGTCAAGAGCTGTTTCTTCCAGCCCCAGGCCAGCCCCGGGCTGCAGCACCCCATATGCTGGCCACAGGCGTGTGCCCCTGACGCTGGTGGATGTTGCTGAAGAGGACGAGCCACATCACCATCTGTAAGGCTGGAGAGAGGTGGTCAAAGCTGGGTACAACTGAGCCAGGAAGGCAAGAGTCCAGCATGTCAGAGGGGGCTGGAGGTCCCAGGTGGGGTAAAGAGCTCAGGGAGGATGGGGATGAGGACAGGGCCAGGGTCAGGGGAAGGATGGAGCCAGGGATGGGGATGAGGACAGGGATGGACTGAGGATGGGGATGGGAAGAGGCATGAGGAGGGGATGAGGATGGGGATGGGAATGAGGATCGTATAAGGATGGGGATGAGGATAGGGGTAAGGACAGGATGAGGATGGGGATTAGGAGGGGCGTGAAATGGGGATAAGGAGAGGGTGGAGGATGGCAATGAGGACGGGGATAATGAGGGGATGAGAGTGAGGATGGGGACAGGAACGGGGATGGGATGAGGACAGGGATGAGGACGAAGACGAGGATGAGGACGGGAATGAGGATGAAGGTGGGCGTGAGGATGGGGATGAGGATGGATGTGTGGATGGGAACGGACAGCCGCGGTGCTGCAATAAAGCGTCCCTGCGCAAGGGGTGGGGCGTGCTCTCCTCCCCTTTCCCCCTACCCCGGCGTGTCGGGGTGGTGCGGCCCGCGCCCCCCTGCCAGCCCCCGGATGTGGTAGGGCCCGCTCGGTGGCGGCGCGCTCAGGCCGGTGCCGGTGCCGGTACCTGGTGCGGGTCCGGGTCCGGTGCCGCGGGGGGATGACGCTTTTCGGCAGCAGGGACGCGGGCTGGAGATGTGAGTACAGACCCAGAGCCGGCCCCGCACCCCCTCCGCGGGTGACACCCCCGGCACCGGCCCCGTTCGCACATCCCTTCCCGGGGGATGCTCCGGCACCGGCAGCCCAGCCCGGGCCACGGGTGTCGCCCCGCAGCCAACCTCCTGCTGCCCGTTCGTGCCCCACAGCCCCACTCCGGGCATGGCCGTCCCCGGTGCCGCGGTCCCTTCTCGCGGACACGCGCGTCCTCCCGGTACCGAGCAGCCCCCACCCAGGTACCAGCTCCTCCCCAGGGCTGGGGTACCTCCCGCTACCGGCATGCTTAGTCCTCCCCATGCCGTTACTCCCAGGTCAGGGATGTCTTCCCAGTGCCGGGATGGCCCCGACACCATTCCCTCCCAGGACAGGGATGTCTTCCCAGTGCCGGGATGGCCCCGACACCATTCCCTCCCAGGTCAGGGATGTCTTCCCAGTGCCGGGATGGCCCCGACACCATTCCCTCCCAGGACAGGGATGTCTTCCCAGTGCCGGGATGGCCCCGACACCATTCCCTCCCAGGACAGGGATGTCTTCCCAGTGCCGGGATGGCCCCGACACCATTCCCTCCCAGGACAGGGATGTCTTCCCAGTGCCGGGATGGCCCCGACACCATTCCCTCCCAGGACAGGGATGTCTTCCCAGTGCCGGGATGGCCCCGACACCATTCCCTCCCAGGACAGGGATGTCTTCCCAGTGCCAGGATGACACCGACACCATTCCCTCCCAGGACAGGGATGTCTTCCCAGTGCCGGGATGGCCCCGACACCATTCCCTCCCAGGACAGGGATGTCTTCCCAGTGCCGGGATGGCCCCGACACCATTCCCTCCCAGGACAGGGATGTCTTCCCAGTGCCGGGATGGCCCCGACACCATTCCCTCCCAGGACAGGGATGTCTTCCCAGTGCCGGGATGACCGACACCATTCCCTCCCAGGACAGGGATGTCTTCCCAGTGCCATGGCCCCGACACCATTCCCTCCCAGGACAGGGATGTCTTCCCAGTGCCGGGATGGCCCCGACACCATTCCCTCCCAGGACAGGGATGTCTTCCCAGTGCCGGGATGGCCCCGACACCATTCCCTCCCAGGACAGGGATGTCTTTCCAGCAGCAGGATGTGCCTCTGCCACTACAGTGAAAGGAGCCCAGACCCAGGCCCATGCCCCTGGGGTGACGAAGCCCTGTTGTCCCAGGTCCCCTCTGTGCAGGTGGGCTGTGACAGTGTCCCTGGGGTCCCTGGCTGGGGTGCTGAGCTCTCTGTCACACTGGCAGGGAGGGGAGCAGGATGGATGCTGGATGGATGGATGTGATGGGCTTTAGCAGCAAGCTTCGCCTCCCTGGGGTGCTGTGGACAGAAATGGGTGCCAGCATCACAGGGTGAATGGAGCACCTTCCCCAGCTCACCTCAGAGCAGAGCTAGCCCCCAGACCTCATCACAAAAGGTGACAGCCTGGAAAGCACACAAGTGCCAGCTTCCTACAGCTTGGGAGCCCTCTCCTCAGCAGGGATTGGAGGGGTTTTGCTCTGACAGATTGAGAAGAGCTGTGCCCGATGTGCCTGCTGCTGGGGCAGCCTGGAGCTCTCTGAGGAGCTGGTGTGCTCCCAGAGGACCCAAGAAGCTTCAGCTCGGGGTTCCTGGTGCAGCGGCATCTGCACGGTCAGTGGTGCCTCACGCTTACCATGGCCAAGGGGGAGCATGCAAGAGGGAGCCTTCAGCATCTCACCCACTGTCTCGTACCCCAGAGGTCAGAGATATTTTCGACCCCCCCAGGTAATTATGTGGAGATGTTAGCAAAGCATTGCTTGAGGTGGCTCTCAAGTGTATACCCAGAAAACAGATTAAAGCTGGCTTTTATCATAGGATCAGCCTGGTTGGAAAAGACCTTTAAGATCAAGTCCAACCATTGCCCAGCACTGCCAAGGCCACCACTGAACCATGGCAGTAAGGGCCCCATCTACACGGTGTGTGAACACTTCCAGGGTTGGTGACTCCACCATTGCCCTGGGCAGCCTGTTCCAATGCCTGAACACTCTTTTGGGGAGCAACTGTTCCTAACATCCAGTATAAACCTCCCCGTTGCAGCTTATATTGGTGCTGCCTGTGAAACCCCAGAGGAGGGGTGAAGAGCATCACTGGGGAGGTGTGATATGCATGTTTGGAGATACCTCCATCTATGTCTCGGCATCATAGATGTCCTGGCAGTCTTTGGGAGTGGGATGCATCTGGGAGCAGGGCTACTTCCATCCCTGGCACCCATCCGTGGTGGGCAGAGCTCACCAGCATCCTGAGGCTCCTGGAAACATGGCCCAACCACCCAGCAAGCAATAGGAAAAGAGGATTCACCATGGTGGTGGTGGGAAATGTCTCTGGGGGTTAATTACCCTCATCATAAGAGGTGTGTTCTGCTGCTCTGATTGGAGCTGTGATGGGTGCAGGCTCCTGGGAATGGGGCATCAATGGGAAAGGGCTGCTGCAGGGACAGCCAGAGCTGCTCCATGTCCTGTCACAACCCTGGGCCACTCCTATCCTCCACAAAAACTTAAATCTAGAAAGAGCTGACATCTTCTAGCTCATCCTGCAGATCACAGAATCGTAGAATGGTTTGGGTTGGAAGGGACCTGAAAGCTCATCCAGTTCCAGCCCCCTGCCACAGGCAGGGACACCTTCCACTAGAGCAGGTTGCTCCAAGCCCCGTGCAACCTGGCCTTGAACACTGCCAGGGATGGGGCAGCCACAGCTTCTCTGGGCACCCTGTGCCAGGGCCTCAGCACCCTCACAGGGAAGAACTTCTTCCTTATATCCAACCTTAATCTTCTCTGTTTCAGTTTTAACCCATTACCCCTTGTCCTATCTCTACAGTCCCTAATGAAGAGTCCCTCCCCAGCATCCCTATAGGCCCCCATCAGATACTGGAAGGCTGCTCTGAGGTCTCCACGCAGCCTTCTCTTCTCCAGGCTGAACAGCCCCAACTTCCTCAGCCGATCTTCATACGGGAGGTGCTCCAGTCCCCTGATCATCCTCGTGGCCTCCTCTGGACTTGCTCCAGCAGCTCCATGTCCTTCTTACACTGAGGACACCAGAACTGCACACAGTGCTCCATGCTCTGGAGTGGACATCTCCAGCTGGGAAAGGAGTGTAGCTCATGAAGCCAGTGTGGGGTAGGGTGTTGACATCGTTTTTCTTCCCACTGGTCACCCTGCTCTTTTGTCTTTCCTCAGATCTGGACATGGCCAGAGAGCCCAAGCTGAGCCGGGCCAGGCTGGGCCAGAAGCGGCAGCATGGCAGCAGCCTGTACCAGTGAGTGCTAGGGCTGGGGTCTGTCCCATCCTGCTCCTCTTCCTCCCCTGCTCTCCATCACTCCAAACCCAGCCTGTATGTGGTGGTGGACATGGGTCTGCAGGATGTCTGATGGGGCCTGGACACACTGGTGGTGGCTGAAGCCCTTGCTGGTTGCCAGCCATGGGGTATAGAGGTATCTTCCCCATCTGAAGGTGCAGGGAGAAGTGCCCATGGTCTCCACATGTTACAAACGTTGATGCTGGTGTAGTTCTGGCCTTTCGGTGCTGTTACTCAGGGGACAGATCCCCCTGCAGAGGCACAGTGGTGGTGGTGGCCCTGCTGATGGCAGTACATGATGGTGGTGGTAGCAGATCAGGTCCCCATTCCTGTGTGCTTCCAGTTCCCTGCTTGGCAGGCGTGTGGTGAGGAGGGGAGGGAGCTGGTCTCCGTCTGTCTCATTAGAGCTTTTTGTGAAGCCCTGATTGAACTAATCGCTCTGCCTGTTGCCATGGCGCCACAGGGATGCAGAACGGGCAGGGCAGGGACCGATGGTCCCCTCAGCCCCGGGGCAGGGGCATGGCAGCTGCTGCTTTGGCTCTTTTCAGTGGATGCTTTGAGCCAAGAGCTGAGCCAGGAAGAACCCTCTCTGTGTCCCTAGCTGGGTGCTGGACCCCAAAGCCTGGTCTCTTGTAGTGCCACCAGTACTTCTGCACAGGCTCTGGGCAGCAGCAGCCATTGGAGCTGGCACCTTTCCCATGCCCTGTGCATGGGTTGGGATCCTCCCACCTGCTCATTTACCTCTTCCCCAAGGCAGGTTGTGACCTTCCTCCTCGGGTTGACAGTGGGATGTGAAGCGTTCACCATCCCCATTGCAGCAATGGGAAGCTGGGAGGCAGCAAGGCTGGACCCAAAGCTCCCAAAACAACCCCGGGAGCAGTCATCAGGGACAGATCGTGGCCCCCTAGTGTTGCCAGCTCATCCTTACTGGGAGGACTGGAGCTTGCGGGCTGCTTTCTGTGCAGACTATTGCTGAATGAGACAATGTGGCTGGGGGTGCCTTTGCTCTGTGATGGGCTCTGAGCTGCCTCCTGTGCTGGGCAAGCCTTGGTGGCCCAGGCAGGGCACCCCAATTTGCCCTCCTCAGCGGACCTCCAGCTCTCCCTGAGCTCCAACATCAGTCCCATGGTGGCAAACTCATCTGCAGCAAAACCTGAAGCCCTGGGGGACCTCACACTGGTCCCCCCGTTCCCAGCAGTGTGGCTAGGGAAGGCTCCTCATCCCAGCAATGCTCTCCCCTTGGGTTTGGCTTAATCCCACACCCCCTGACTCTGGGAGAGCTGAAGCAGCAAAATGAGCTTCAGCATCTTTCCTCCTGCTCCCGGTCCACGACGCATGGTTCATTACTTGCACGTCAGCTGCCCCCATTGGAGGAGCTCCCTTGACAGATCTCATCTGGAGCCCAGCGAGCCTGCAGCATGCGGAGCCCTGGACCATGAAATGTAACATCAGGGGGCTCAGAATGCAGCTTCCCGAGAGCAGAGCCTGATGGTTCTGCCCCGAGGGGCTCCCTCCACCCCCACAAACACCCTGGTTTGCCTCCAGGGCACGGCCAGGAGGCCCCGGGGTGTGCTGCAGCTTGTGTGGTACCCTCCAGGATGCTCCCTAGGGATGGGGATGGAGGTGGGTGGGTGCCCCTGCAGCACCCACGGCCCTGCAGAGCAGGTGACTTCCGTTCTCCTCTCCCTCTCCTGCAGCAGTAACTGTGACCTCGATTACGATTTCTGCAGAGATGAATTCCCACACCGGTGAGCATTCAGGAGTGGGATGTGCTGAGCACATGTGGCGTTGGTCCATGGGCATCCATCACCCTGCTTTCATGAGGCTCGGTGGTGTTTATCCCTAGGCTGGAGGCTTTGGGAAGTGAACACATGGGGCAGGAGCAGTGTGTGGGGTGGACAATGCCCAGGTTAGGGGTTCTTCACCACAGAGGGCCCCTAAGAGATGCTTTCTTGGCTGGAGGGGCTGCTGCTGCTCCTCCAAAGCTGTGGTCACGCCGCTGTACTTTTGTGCCCTTGCAGGGTGTATGAGTACCAGAAGATCCCTCCCCTCATTAACCGCATCCCAGTCAAGACCAGACGAGCTCACATGGGAACAGGGGGAAAAAGCAGCCCAAGTGCACAGCCCAAGGCCAGGAGCAGCACCAGCTCCACGGTGGAACGGACGAAGCGTGAGTGTGATGGGACTGGGAGGAAGACGAGGTTCAGCCCTCACGTTTTGGTGCATTAGAGCACTGCTGGTGCCCAGAGGTCCCACTCAGCCCCACTCCTGTGAGTCCTCAGCTCTAGCAGACACAGGCTGGACTGCCCTGGGCTGGTGGCTGTCCTCTGGACCTGTCTCTCTTCCCCAAGGGTGGGGCTGTTCCAAGGGTGTTCCCCAGGGATGCTGGGTGGAGAAGATGCTCTGGAGAGAAGGATGCTCCAGAGGTGGCTGCCGAGGGCTGTGTCCCCTGGCTCCAGGTGTGCTGCAGAGCCAGGTGGGACCCTAACAGCTCCTCTCCCTGCAGTGCACGCTGAGGAGCTGCATTCCATCAAGGGGGAGCTGTGCCAGATCAAGGCGCAGGTGGACAGTCTGCTGGAGAGCGTGGATCGCATGGACCAGCGGAGAGAGCGCCTGGCAGGTGAGGGGACAGGCGCAGACCCGCCGGCACCCAGGTGGCACATTCCTAGTGCCCCCTGCTTCCCCAGGCTGGGACAACACGGTCCGGCCCCTTGGCACAAGGGGACCCTATGAGGGCAGGGTGGATGTTTGCAGGGGTACCTGTAGCTTCTGCTGTCTCTGTTCTTGCAGGGTCCAAGGAGAGTGAGAGGAAGAGGTTAGGGACAGGAGCAGAGTCACCATCCCCAGTGGAAGAGCGGTCACAGGGACAGGAGGGGAGGGGAGCTGATGGGCACAGTGACCTGCACAGCATCGACAGCACAGAGGAGAGCACAGACACAGAGGAGATGGTGAGAGTGGGGACAGGTCACAGCCTGGTTTGGGTTGGAAGGGACCTTAAAGCTCATCCAGGGACCCCTTCCACTGGAGCAGCTTGCTCCAAGCCCCTGTGTCCAACCTGGCCTTGAGCGCTGCCAGGGATGGGGCAGCCACAGCTTCTCTGGGCACCCTGTGCCAGGGCCTCAGCACCCTCACAGGGAAGAGCTTCTGCCTAAGAGCTCAGCTCAGTCTCCCCTCTGTCAGGTTCAAGCCATCCCCCTTGTCCTGTCCCTACAGGCCCTTTTCCTGCACTGTGCTCTCTGCTCTCCTGAAGTTCATCCCTGTTTGCTGGCAGCTTGTGCCCTGGTGGGGAACACCTGGTTGCGGAGTTGATGCTCCATCAGGTTCCCCCAAGCTGTCCCGACTGTGCCAGGGTGCAACCACCCCTGTCCCCAGGACAGCCCCAAGCCCCCTGCACCAGCCCCCTCTGTGTGTGTTCCTTCAGCAGCAGCAGCTCCAAAACCCCCTTTGAAGTACAAATCCCTTTCCTCCAAGCATCTGCTCCCATACTCACATCCCCCAGCTGGGTGCAGGGGTCTGATCCCACTGCTGGCACACAGCAAAGGGCAGCCATGCTCTGCGTTTCTCCTTGCAGGTAAAAAACCACTCTGGACCATGAGGGGAGCCAGTAGGCACACTGGGATGCCAAGGCCTCCCTGCCTGGCCAGCCCTTTCCATCCTGTGTTCCTATTTCTTTTGAGGCTTGCCTGCTCTGAGCACAGCCATGCCCTGCCACCAGCACCTCCACCTCCCAGCGTGGCCAGAGGAGTCTTTGTGTTCAAGTGTGCTTGGGTTTTCTTTTCCTCCTGTTTTCAGACCTAGGGATAAGACATGGCCGGGGAGGGGAGGAGAACAAAGAAAAGGACCATATCCCAAAGGAGCATCCCAAATCCTGGCTGCTCTGCCTGCCAGCATCTCCTCACCCACAGGGTGCTGTGAGCTGCAGAGAAAGCACCCCAGGGGTCCCAACCCCTATGGCACAGGTCGCATCCTGCCTGCCCACCAAGGCAAGCCCACCCTGCAGATCCATGCCAGGAATTGGTTCAGCAGGCACAGGTACAGTTCAAGAAGGAGCCCCTGCATCCCACTGTGGGACCACCCGCAGACCCCTCTAGGGGCTTTTGTGGAATCTTAGGCTGGTGCTGAGCACATCTCCAACACCAGGATGGGGGCAACACAAACCCAATTGCTCCCCATTGCCCCTGCTCTCACATGGCTCTTGGCCACAGGTCACATCTGTGGTCAGCAGGAGTACGCTTGCCAGAGCTCCTTGCCTGCACCCAAGCAGTCAGTCTATCCCCTCCCCAAACCCCCCATCTCAGCCCGGTGTCCCCATCTCCTAGGTCACCCTTCTCTCGCTGGTAGGAACTTGTTCTGTGTTTCTGAGTTGCCCTGGTAAGAGTGTATTGTGTTGGAAAAAAAAAAGGATTTGTATCTCTTTTCTCTGGTTACTGGACTCCCATGAAGTTAACTGTCTGAACCCCATGTGTGGCTTTTTGTACCCAATCTGGGGTGCTGCCGACACCGCCCGTGGCTCTGGAGGCTCCCTGCGATGCTGTCTTCCCCATCTCAACCCAGAGGCAGGAGGAGCACTGCTCTGCCTGTTTCTCAATGGAAACCAGCACATTCTCCCCCACCCCACTGCATCCCCCCATTCAGTGCCTCAAACACCCCTTGAGGAAGGACACTGGGAGAAGAGCGGGGAGATCCCAAAGCCTGGCAGCCTGTCACAAGTGCATCCTTCCTCTGCCCACACTACAGAGGCCTCAGCAGAGCCATGCAGGCAGAAGGCTCCTATAAGAACAAGCTTATTTATTCTATAAGAACCCAACAAAACGCATCTTCGCCACCCCCAGGCGCTACAGGAGGTCCAAGGGATGTGCAGTCCGTGCCACCGCATGGCTCCTGCCCCGTGCTGCCAGCATCCATTGTGTGGATGCTCATGGTGGAAGGTCTCAGTCCTGGTCCCGAGACTGCTCCGGGATGAGTGCAGGCAGCTGATGGCAGCAGGGAGGTGTCAGGCAGCGTCTGGCAGCATGGGGCATCACAGAGGCTGGTTCTGGGGGTCTCCAGCAGCGTGTGGGGCTGTTTATGTCCTGCAAACCGGTTGTGTTTGGTCTCCTGCAACGAGCTCCAGTGTCCTTGGGCAGGTTTCTCGGGCCTCTGGCTGTGTGGGAAGCTCTGAGGGGTCTCGGGCTGCTCAAGCGCCAGCTCAGGGTGTCTCCAGCAGCATGAGGTGTGATCAGACAGCACCAGGGACCTCCGGCAACCCCGACGGCAGCTTGAACGGGCTCCAGCCGGCAGCCCCAGCGCCAGCCCCGGGCGCTCAGGCAGTGCTGGCAGCGGTGGCACGGCGGCGGCGGTGGCGGCGGCGGCCGGTGGCCTGGAGCAGGCTCTGCCGCAGCACCGGGTAAAGGCGGTAGCAGGCGTCGAGGCCGAAGCACAGCGCCTCTGCCCAGTCCTCGGGCGTGCTCCCGCTGCCGGTGCCCTGCACGGCCGATACCTGGTTGAGGGCCGGCAGCAGGGCCACGGTGAGCCGGACCGCGGCCCGCCGCTCCTCGGCCTCCCCCGGCTGCAGCACCCAGGCGGCGGAGGGATCGGGCCCGCGGCACAGGGCGCAGCCCACAGCCAGGTCGTACATCTGCACCCCGGAGTCGGCCAGCGCCAGCGCCCCCGCGCTGATGGCGGCGGCCAGCACGGAGCCTTCGTCCTGCAGGAGCAGCACGCTGACCAGGAGCCGGGTCCGCGGGTACCGTTCCAGCTGCAGCGTGGGCTCCAGCGCACTCCGCAGCGCCGCCGCCAAGTCCCGCTCCGCGTCCCGCTCTGCCGTCGAGCCCGGCCGCCGCCGAGCCCCGCGGCTCGCGAACGGCGCCCGCCGGAAGTCGCACTGCAGCCGCCCCATTCTCAGCGCCGCCGCCGCCGCCGCCGCCGTCGGGGGCTCGGGGGCCTCCCTCGGGCCCCACGCGGCGCAGAGAAGCTTCGTGCCCCCGCTCAGCTCCACGTAGGCCGAGCCGTCGGCCTGGCTCAGCACCGCGGCCCGGGCGAACAGCGGCCGCAAGGCCCAGGGGTCCCGCGGGGCTTCATCCCCACCTCCCTCCTCACCGTCCTCCGCCGCTACAGCCGCCCCGCAGACCGCAGCCCACAGCCCCGGCGCATGCGACTCCTCCGGGCCGCAGAGGCGGCGGTGATCCACCGGCATGATCGGCGGGCAGGGCTCAGCGAGCAGCAGCAGGAAGAGGAGGAGCCCGGCCCGCTCCGCCCCCCCCAAAGCAGACGGGAACCGGCAGCCCTCGGGGCCGTAGCGTTTATTGGGAGCAGCAGGGAGAGGGCGGGCAGGGGGTGCTGGGGGCGGCCCGGGGAGCCTCCTCCCCGCTCAGTTCTGCTCGCCCAGCCGAAGCTTGGCAAAGTCCGTGGCTATCTGCAGGGCCTCCCGCAGGCATCCCACGTTCTTGCCCGTGGCCTGCGCAGAGACGTCCTTTCCCCCGCCTTTGCCGTCCATCAGGCCCGACACCTCCTGCACCCACTGGCTGGCCTTCAGGCCTTTATTTGCAGTCTCCTGGGCAGGAAAAGAGAACGACAAATGAAGAAGTTAAACCTTAACCCTGCCAGCAGTGAGGGAAGGGCATCCATGAGCGTGATGCAACAGGGCAAGGCTCTTACAGCTCCACAGCCCCCAAAAGCTTTGCCATGCCCACAAGCACATTAGGCCTGGCTCTTCCCCTTCCCAGAGTGCACCTCCCTCTCTTCTGCAGCCTAGCAACAAACCCGAAGCACAAGGGCTGTGGCTCTTGCTAAACCCAAAGGCGTTTTGGGTGTGTAGCGTTAGCCAGTGACAGCCTGGAGGCTGTGGATCCTCCACAGAGTAACAGGGAGGTCAGAGACAGTGTCTCAGCCTTACCTGGGGCACTTGACAGAGGCAGGTGATTCTGCCAGCTTCATTATCTACAGTGAAGAGCATGGTGGCAGTCTGGGGGGAGTAAGTCTTGAAGAGCTTCAGAGATTCATTCAGGGCCTGTAGGACAAAAACACAGAATCCCAGCCTGGTTTGTGCTGGAAGGGACCTTAAAGCTCATCCAGTTCCAACCCCTGCCACAGGCAGGGACCCCTTCCACTGGAGCAGGTTGCTCCAAGCCCCTGTGTCCAACCTGGCCTTGAACACTGCCAGGGATGGGGCAGCCACAGCTTCTCTGGGCACCCTGTGCCAGCGCCTCAGCACCCTCACAGGGAAGAGCTTCTGCCTAAGAGCTCAGCTCAGTGTCCCCTCTGTCAGGTTAAAGCCATTCCCCCTTGTCCTGTCCCTACAGGCCCTTGTCCCAAGCCCCTCTCCAGGTTTCCTGCAGCCCCTTTAGGCACTGGAGCTGCTCTAAGGTCTCCCCTTCAGGAGCCTTCTCTTCTCCAGGCTACCCCAGCCCAGCTCTCTCAGCCTGGCTCCAGAGCAGAGCTGCTCCAGCCCTCGCAGCATCTCTGTGGCCTCCTCTGACTCTCAATCCCTACAGCACACCTCCCCTGCGCTCCCAACCTGGCTCCAGGCTCAGTGGAGACCTCAGGGCTCTGGACTTGCATTTAACCAGCCAGCAGTGTCCTGCGGTGTTCCTGTTCTCCAACACAAGAGACACTCACATCCCTGCCGGGGCAGGGGACACAGCCAGGGCTTGTGGTCCCTCACTACTGCAAGGAACTGGTTTTATTTTCCCATCTTCAGTTATCTGGGAGCTGGCAGAATTAGTGCCAAGGGCAGAGGGAAAAACACTGTGCCCTGGAAAGTGGCTCCCAGAGGAGGGAGCAGCTGCTCTGCAGCAGGGCTGGAGGACTCAAATGCAGTGTGAAGAAGCTGCAAGGGTTTGTCAGCACTGCAGAGCCTGGGGGAACCCACGCACCCCATTACCCATCCCAGGGAGAGCTAGCACAGACACAATGCTGCACCGAGCTTCAGGGGTGGGCCCTCCAGAGGCAAAGCGGTGCTGCTCTAGCTGGGGCTCAGAGCACCACCATTGATGGGATACACCCTTCTGTCAGGAAGAATGATGCACTGGCACCATGGATGGCTACAGAGAGCAAGGGCATGAAAACCAGACTGGTCCAACCTCAGGGCACTATCAGCCCATTCAGCACAAAGGACAGAAGGAACAATTTCAGCGCTGGCTGGAAAGAACTGGAGCTGTGCTGCAGCAGGCGATGCCCAGGAGGTGGGAGCACATGTTCAACCTAGGACGCCACTCCCACACCTGATGTCAGCACCCACATCCAGCAGGACATCTGTGGCTCGGCAGAGCTTCTGCTCAGAGTTCCTTAAGCCCTCCTGTTCCGTGTTGTAAGGGCTGCTGGATGAGCCAGGGCACAGTGCCGTTTCTATTGGGGTCTCTGCCCACCATCAGGTATGGAAGCTCAGCCAGTGGCCAAGAGTCCCCCATGCCCCAGCCCCTGTGTAACCTTCCTCTTGTCACTGCTCAGGGCTGGCAGGTAACAAAAGTGCCAGCTCTGTAACACAGCACCACCCTCCCCTCAGGGAGCAGAGACCACCCAACTGCTCCTCAGGCACCAGGAAGGTCACTGAGGAGTGATGAGACCCTCCCTTACCTTTGCTGAGGCTCCATTTTCCATTTCCATGATGACCAGTGGCTGGTTAGGGTGACTCTCAATGACTTGCTTGGTCTTCTCCAGCACCTGAGGACAACAGTGGTCAGATGCTGCAGCACACACACTATGCTGGTCTATGCACACAAGAACCACCCAGGTGAATGTGTAACCTCCCTAAAAGTACAAAGGCTCCCAAGGTGCCCAAGCACACCACAGTCCAGCCTGGAGCAGCTTCATGATTTGTGGCCTGCAAGGCAGCAGCAGTGCTGTGTCTGAGCCCTCCTCCAGGAAAATCCAATGGGATCCAGGAGAAAGCCTGACCCCAAGGGCACTGCTAGGGCAGAAACACCCCAGACACCAAGACTAGCACTGCATTTCAACCCAGGAAACAGGCATGGAGGCAGCCATGCTCTGGGATAAGCTGGAAGGCTGAAATGCGTGAGGAACATTCCCACAGCTTGGTTCCCTTCCATGCCGGACACAAGTGGAGCTCCCAAAGCAGCCCTCTGCAGCCCTCCTGCACTGTCCTTTGCTCCCATCAGGGCTCACTCGTTTCTGGATGTCAGCTTTGCTTGCTCGGTCCAGGTCATCCATAACTTTCTTCAGTGCTTTAACAGCCTCCCTCAGTTCATCCTTCTGCCACTGTGGAATGACAGCAGTGGCCAGTGTCTGCAAAACAGGAGTCGTGGAGAGGGTTAAAGGTATGGGTGACCATGACAGGAGATGCTGCACCACACTCACGAACCTCAAGTGCCTCAAATGGCAGAGCCCACTAAGCTCCCCTCCTCTCCCAGCCTCAGGCATGAGGTGCTGGCTGCAGCATCCGCAGGACACAGGGTGGACAGGAGCAGGAGGCTGAACCTGGGCCTCATTAATACCCCCCAGTGCTGGTCATCAAGGTGCCATTCAACTCCGGGGAGGCAGACCACAGATACTGTCCTCACCTCACTGAGATCCACGATCTCCTTCTGCACATCCTTGTTGGGAGCTGTTTGGACCTTCACCTTGGCCTCCAGGGCTGACAGCAGCTTCCTGAGGCTGTCGACTTTCCTGAGGGCCTAGCAGAATAGAATCCTAGTTAAAGTCAGACAGGGAGATGTAGCAGGCTGGGCTTTTGCCAACCTCATGAGAAGGGGCAAGGAATGATGCAGCCCTCAGATGGAGGTCAGTAACTCTTCAGGAAGCAGCAGAGCCAAAGCAGGCAGCTTGTTACCAGAACCAGGGTGTGATGCTGGCAAACAGGCCCCAGGATTCTTCTTTGCCAGAAGGAATGCTAAGTTCCTCCATAAAGAGAAAGCCATCTCCCCCATGAACCCTTGCAATGAGTATCCCACCAGGGATACTGCACAAATTTGAACAAAAGGAACCTTGGCACATGGTTAATATGTGGGATTTTCCAGATGATCTCTCCTGCTTCCTCTCACCTTCCGAGCTTCGCCCCCAGTGACTGCAACTATCCTCCGGATGCCTTTAGCAATTGCTTCTTCTGAAACAATCACAAAAGGGCCAGCGTGGCTGGAGTTCTGCAAGTGCCTTTGGAAAGAACCCAGAAAGACTCACAATAAGAGAGAGTTAGAAGCCCACCTCTCACCTCAGCAGCAATTGGCACGGAAGCAAGAAAACCACCATGCCAGGAACAGGAAGCAAGCATGGGGACAGGCAGAAACCCCAACCTAAGCTAGCTGCTAAAAGCAAGTAAGCAAGGCAAAGGTGGCAAAGGCTTTGTTTCTGCACTGTCAGAGACTGTGAGTGTGGGCAGCAACAGCATGCAGGCAGAGATTTTTCCTGCCTGCAAAAACTGACTTTAAACACGGAATGCAAAGGCACATCATGATCACCACCACCTCCAGCTCTGCCCTGGGTGTAGCCAGCAGACACTCACAGCACTCCCAGCAGAGCTTGGGCTCCTTTCCAGCCACCCTGCCACCTCCCCTGGCCTCTCCAGATACTCACGTGCCCCCGCAGAACTCTACTGAAGTGATGGAGCCTGCGGGGCCAGAGGGGTCGGCCAGCAGCTCCTCCACAGGGATGCCAATTGAGACCACACGGACAGGGTCAGGGTAGGTCTCATCAAAAACTGCCCGCAGTCCTTGGATAGCTTTGGCTGCTGCAAGAGGGCAGTCCTGCGCGTACACTGTCTGCAGAGGACAGGAAAGGGGTGCAGGTGAGAGCCAGCCTTGTCAGTTCTGACTGAGGGCCCAGGGAATCCTAACTTCCTCCAAAAAAGCTTAAAAGGGACCTTCAGTGCCTTACCTGAGCTCTTGTTTGTTGAGCTGGAGGGAGCCCAAAGGCACTGGAGAGATGCCTCACCTTCAAAATTCCTGGCAGCACTGCCTGCTCAGACTCCCCATGTACATTCTAATGCTTCCTAAGCACAGACTCCTGAGCGTGGCACAGGGTCCTCCAGCATCTGCTCTGGCACCACACAAGCAACGCTCTCGCTACTGAGGACACATCATGGGGTGGCCGCATGTACACTAAATGAAGCCACCCCTGCAAAACTACTCTGCCAAACTTCCTGTAGCTAAATGCAACACCAGCACAGGCATGGAAATATTCCAACCCTACAGAGGGCTTGCTACCAATCCACATGGAGTTTTCCCACTCAGGATCCTCTGAGGTGATGCCAATCTGTGCACACTACTGCACTGGCAGCTCAGAAGACTCCTGCTGGGCTGACCTCCCAGTTATCCCAGATCATCCAAAAGGTGGACTTTTCCTGAGCATATCCC